AACGTGTGTAAACAGTATCAAATGTGCTTTTCTAAATATAACTGCATAAAATTCGAGACCTTTCCCTTGATCTTTTGTCTTACCCTTCACAAGTCTCCCACATTTATATTTTTGTACCTTTTTCACCATTCACGATATTTCTACAGCAATGATATAGTTTCACTTAAACTTGTCGACTTAGCCTATTCTCTCTTACTTAAGTGTTGATTAAGTGTGAAATCCTCACTATTTTTAAGTATAAAGTATTCTGGGTATAAATCTAAGGCCTTTATTTATTTTTTCTTTTTAAGAAGAGAAGTGCTGATATTACCCCAGGCAACAACTATCTCTAGTCTCTCAATATATTTCAGTATGTGCCTTGAAATAAGATTAATTGAAAATTGCATATCCTAAATTTAAGAAAATTAGCAAGTCAAGATAATATATACAAGTATATTTTTCAAATTTGTTGAAAATTGTCATTATCTTTAATACATTTTCTCCACGAATTTTATGGAGCTCTCTTGCATGTAATAAGTAAAATCTCTCCTTAGACATCTTTGAAAATAACATTTCATCTCTGGAATTATGCATAGATTTAATCCAGGAGCTGTGCTCTGGAATATATATCAACAAATACCACCAGAACATGCAGAAAAGTCTACATTGTGGGTGCAGACTTTGAAAGTATTGGTAATCTCCAGTTCATGTGTTTGAGTTACAACAAAGTACATATTTCCTATGATCCTCCTTCATGAGTGTACATTTATATTTAATAATGTGTACTAAAACATTGTTGCAACATAAAAGTTGCTGCTATTATCATTCACAGATGCTCACTGCTAGAATTTACTGACCCAAACCCCTGCCAGGCAGCATGCAAAGGCATGGTTAACAGTGAGTCTGTGTTGGTTGTAGGTAACATAATGAATAGAAAATTGGCCAATGTTCAACTCTTAACAACCTACTATAATTGAATTGCACACGTACACAATAGTCATTACAACTCTGAGTTCACTGTTACAACATTGGCATTGACAAATAAAATTCGGATCTATAAAGATAGGGATAATAAGGGTCATAATGAAAATTTTGAAAAGAAAAAAAGGCATTTGCCTAACATCAAAATGACTTAATGACAGTCATTGGAATAAAACTCTGTCCGAAGTTGGAAATTACCTATACACACAAAAGAATAACGAAACAGACACGGTCGCCGCTACAGCTACCGCCACCGCGCGCTTTGTGCAGCAGGCTGGCCCGGGCGCAGCAGGGTCCTCGACTGGTGCTGCACCAGGGATGGTGAGCAAGGCGCTGCTGCGTCTGGTGTCTGCCATCAACCCAAGGAGGATGAAGCTGCTGCTGGGCATCACTTTAGTCACCTACGTTGCCTCTGTGTGGGGCAACATCGTTAATATGAGTTTTCTACTCAGCAGGTACATCCAGGAAAATGGCGAACTGAAAATTGAAAGCAGGATCGAAGAGATTGTTGAGCCATTAAGAGAGAAAATCAGAGACTTGGAAAAAAAGCTTCACGCAGAAATACCCTCCAGTGAAATTTTTATCAGAAAAGGACCGTAAGCGAATTTTGACCACCAGAGGTGCAGGCTTTGTGGGCTCCCATCTGACTGACAAACTCATGATAGACGGCCGAGGTGACAGTGGACAACTTCTTCATGGGCAGGAAGAGGAACTGGCACACTGGATCGGCCACAAAAACTTTGAGCTCATAACCACGACGTTGTAGAGCCCCTGTACGTTGAAGTTGACCAGATCTATCACTTGGCTTCTCCAGCCTCCCCTCCAAACTATATGTACAATCCTATCAAGACACTAAAGACCAATACAATTGGGACATTAAATATGTTGGGGCTGGCAAAGCGGGTCGGGGCTCGTCTTCTGGCCTCCACCTCGGAGGTGTACGAAGATCTTGAAGTCCACCCTCAAAGTGAGGACAACTGGGGCCAAGTGAATCCAATAGGACCCCGAGCCTGCTACGATGAAGGCAAGCGTGTGGCAGAGATCATGTGCTATGCCTATATGAAGCAGGAAGGAGTGGAAGTGCGGGTGGCGAGAATATTTAACACCTTCGGACCGCGCATGCACATGAACGACGGGCGGGTGGTCAGCAGCTTCATCCTGCAGGCCCTCCAGGGGGAGCCGCTCACAGTGTATGGATCCGGATCTCAGAACGAGGGCATTCCAATATGTGAGTGATCTCGTGAACGGGCTTGTGGCTCTGATGAACAGCGTCAGCAGCTCCGTCAATCTGGGGAACCCTGAAGAACACACGATCCTAGAATTTGCTCAGTTAATTAAAAACCTTGTTGGTAGTGGGAGTGAAATCCAGTTTCTCTCCGAAGCCCAGGATGACCCACAGAAAAGAAAGCCAGACATCAAGCAAGCAAAGCTGATGCTGGGCTGGGAGCCCGTGGTGCCCCTGGAAGGAGGCCTAAACAAAGCCATCCACTACTTCCGCAAAGAACTCGAGAACCAGGCAAATAATCAGTACATCCCCAAACCCAAGCCGGCCAGAATCAAAAAAGGACGGCCACGCCATGACTGAGGGAAGCTCGCTTCTCAGGTGGGAGCCTTACTGTTTTACACTTGATGGGCTGCGTCTTTGTTTGTTTTCCTTCTTACTATTTTTATTTTTTGAAGAAAGACTGAAAACAGGTGTCATGAAGAACAAAACTGGAATTTCATTCTGAAGCTTGAGTTAACGAAATGGATGTGCCTAAAACCTCACCTCCAAAAAAACCCAAAAAACTGCTGATTTTGCCTTGCACTTTTTAAATCTCTTTTTACATGTAAAATAGGGTAGATGCATCTTTGCATATTTTCACATTTTTTATCTTGCCGTGAGAGCATATGTTGTGACTGTCGCTGACAGTTTTATTTACTAGTTTCTTTGTGAAGCTGAAAAGGAACATTAAATGGGGTGAAAATGCCGATTTTATTTATAAAAGTGGGTACTTAAAAGGAGACGTTATACTATGCATAAAGAGAAGACTTAGCGGTGTTGCCAGGTGGGTGGCACTCTGACATTTATTGTTCAGGCCGATAAAAGAATTCTGTTTGAGAGTTTTATGTTTCTTTCAATCCAGGATTTGTCCGAGGTCTAGTTTTTAGTTGCATACTTGACTTTTGAAATACTTCTGTTTGGTTATATCATGATTACGGACGTTGGTATCACTACTGTGTCGTGCTGCGTGTTCTGGGAGAAAACAAGGTTAACCTAATCTTGGTTAACAGTGGATAAATATGCTATTTTAATAAAATATGGAAATTAAAAAAAAGAATAACGAAATGAATTTTAAGAGGTATATATCTTAAAGATACTATGCTTCACAAGTATAAATGTTTTAGTGGAAATTCTGAATTGATAACAAAGAGGTTAATTATTAAAAATAAGCATACACTATAAGCTACAGGCCCTAATTTAGGTATAACTATAACATTTGAAAATTGAGAAATAATTTTTTTTGCTACTCTGCAACCAGTGTACTTATCAGAATTTGGAGACATCTTGGCTTTCACACCAAATGCTATGCTTTCTTGCTGAAGTTACTTAGACCTCTGAGTGTTTAGAGTCTAGAGTACAAGGAGAAGAAGAATGGTTAGGAGAGAATTGTTTGGTTGACTAACTGAAAACAAATTCAAAGTATGTGTCTTCCCTAGCCAGAGTATCTTTCAGCTTAAGTGTGCTGACCAAGCCTAACAAGAATAATGACATATTCAAGAAGGAAAAATAGCAGGCATATTTATTAGGGGGATTTCCATGAAATACAAATACCCTCTTATGCTTATCATCATACTTGGGCAATTATGATTACACATTACCAACTACGGTAGTCAAAGGTGTTTCAAGATTAAGGAATTAAGAACAACTTAAGGAAGCAAAATGAGATAAGAAGTTCTGTCTAGACGTCGGCACAGCAATTTAACTTGATTAAAGTTAAGGACTGGCAAGATTTCATGAATTGGATTACTCATGTAGTCATCTAATAATAAGCACTATGAAATGCAGAATTCAGACACTACAAATAACTACATGCAAAATAACTCCTCAAACCCAGATTTTTCTTATTTAAAAGAAACGTGAATATGAAAAGTCCCTGGCATGTCCAGTCAGGAAAGTGCCAGAGGTAAGATTCCAGCTTCGCGTTCATGAAGGGCAGTCAGCTCTGAAAGAAGAGGAGACCACAAAGATAACTGGCAGTGTGTAAGATGTAGTGAAGAAATCAAGACCAACATTAACTTGGGATAGATATTAGGAAATGAAAAGTAAATGTGTTTAGTTAATTAGCAATGTCTGCCAAGCATGCATTTTATGCTTGGGAAAATAGTGCACGAACTTCAGAACAGGTTGGTTCCTATTTGGGTTTCAATGGCCCAAAGACAATAATAGTTGCTTCCCACTCACTTTTTATACAGAATTTTTATTTTAAAAAGGAAATAAAGTAAACACAGACAAAGATTATAGTGCACGAGACCTAAAAAGACTTTGTTAGGTTTTTTGTTTCTTTGTTTTGATTTTAGGATTTAGCCTAGACCAGCCACTTAGTATAACTGGAATATCCTATATACAGTAGTAGGTTGATGGTAAGTATTAAGTCAAATACAAGGTGACATCAAAAAGATGAAGGGGTACTATCTTACAAGAGGGAGATGAGAAAAGGCTAACTGATGTAGGGCAGAGCACTGGGAGGTTGGACAGGTTATTTAAGCGGTTGGATGCAAAAATCACGGGCTGAAAAGTAAACTCCCACCTAATTTAGAGTAAAGAGGATTAAAAAAAACCTCAATTCACTGCAGTGCATCCCATTTATCATTTAAGAGTTAAATACCAAACTCTCACATGAATAAGGCAGAGTCAACCACTATCCTAGACAAGAGCTTTAAAGTCATCTTCCGAGAAGCTCATGGCTACTTTGAGGCTTTCTGGAGAATGACTGTCACATGTTCAAACAACCTTTACAACTCATGATCCTGTCAAGAGAAAGGCAATTCATACTTACTACTGTTCATAAATGTTATGTGCAAGAGCAGGCCGGAAGTATTTCAAAATCAGTATCTGACTTGAAAAGACAACTTTTCATTTTGGTTTTCTGTAACTTAAAAAATAAGAAGCTGAACCCGAAGCTAGTGAAGCCCCCTTCTCTGAGGGATTGACATGCATGCTTTCTTGCCACACAGTTGAGCAAAGAAATGGGTTTTCACTCTACAATCCTTTCTCCAAAGCAGTACCTGTGAACGGAAAGAGCACTCCACTAGCAGACGACAGACTTGTTCTCTCCTCTCTGTGGCCACCATGGGCCTCAAGTTTACCATCTGTCCTAAGATGCCCCTCAACCTGGAACATTCTCCCATTCAAAAGTTCTATTAAAGACTGGGCTTTTTTTGTATAGATGTTTTCATTTTTATTTACCAGTATTTCTTTTTGAGGTCAAAAGTTATTTCAGGTATGTTTTTAAAAAAAAACATTTTATTGAGGGCTCTTACAGCAATTGTAACAATCCACCAATCGCGGTTAAACCGGGCACTTTGGTTACCATGGGCTGCTTTCAAATTTCCCCAAAGTTTCATAATTCCCATCTTGCAAAATCCCCACATCTGTAATAACACAGTTTCTCTAGTCAGTGTCATGCTTCAGCAGGCATCCCACCCACCGCCCCAGCCAGGACTGAACTTTCCATACATTCGAGTATGGAGCATGAGTACAGTTCTTAGAGAGTTTTAAAAAAATAAAAATGCCCAAAGCCAAGTGAGAGCAAAATCCAGAGAGACCACCTTTCGGAGAGGGGCACAGGCAGGGCTGCAGGGGCTCAGGGAAACGTTGGCTCGGTGACCTGATGGTCGAATGAGGGCCAGGCGTTGGCAGCACA